CCCCAAAACCCCAAAACCCCAAAACCCCATTAGATCTAGATTTTGAGAAGATTTGAAAATTTTTAATAGAAATTTTAAGTAAAACTAAATCATTGCAGGCAATTACAATTAATAAACTGATTTAAAAATATTTGAGTTAAATTTTTTATAAATTTATACAAATTTGTTTAAAAACTTCAAAAATTTCTAATAGATTCATAGATATGCTGGTAATTATCCATGTTTAGTGTAGGTAAACATCTCTGAAAATATTCTTTCTTGCTTTTTCTATAATTTCGATGATTAATCAATTTTATAAATATTTTTTACCCTTGTCATCGAGCTTTTAACATTTATCCCATATAAATTGAGTTATTCTTTTAACTGATCATTTGAAAATTGACTACAATCAACTAAATTTTTTTCCTCTTCTTCTTTCTACTTAGCTTTTTCTTCTTTTTCAGTCGCTTTTTCTATAATATATCAATAAAAATAATGATTAAAAACTAACTTGATTTTTTAGTCTCCTTCTTACTCTGTTTTTGATTGTCTTTTTTATTAACAGTAACTTGATTGATATCTTTGGTCGAATCTTTTTGAGGTGATGATGATTTAAGTATTTCTTTTTTGTTTACACAAAATGATGTTATTAGACCTAGTTTCAGGTCTATTTTTCTTTCTGATTTTTCTTTATTTAATTTTGTCTGTTCTATCTCTTTTTCAACTTGCTTTTTCTATTGCAATTCATTCTCTTGTCTTAATTTTTGTTATTCAGTTTCGTTTTGCTTTATTTGTAGCTAAAGTTGAAAATTTATCCTATCATTTAATGCTAATAGACCTGCTTTGATCTTATTATTTGTTTTTATTTCTATTTATATGTTAAAATCTGACTTTAATATCTACTTTAACTCCTTATACTTCTGTTTCAACTTCCTACTATTCTTTTTCTGATTCGCTTTTGAAGTTCTTTTATTCGTCTGTTTTTCATTTTGCTTTCTTTAAATGTAGTCATCAGACTAACTTGATATTTCAATTTCCTCCTCTGCTACTACTCTTTTTCTCTTTTTAGGGCGTTCTTGAATTCTATCATTCTTACTTTTATTAGTTTATTGGCTATGAGTTTTCTTTTTCAATTGCCTCAACATTTTTTCCTTGTCCTGATTTTTAATGAGTTTTCTATTTTTTGGTTCGGATTTTTTCTATTCTTTAAGACTATTATCATTAGTGTCAACTTCTGCATGATCTATCAACTCAACTTCATCTGAGTCATAACTAGGTTTCAAAGTCATTGTTTATTCGATATAAATGCTTTTGGAATGAGATTTTGATAAAATTAAAAATCAAATTATATTTATGAAACAGACAATTAAGATAAGGAGCTATTATTCGCTGAATTAACGCTAATTGCTGTATGGGGTTTTGGGGTTTTGGGGTTTTGGGGTTTTGGGG